TCTGACTTATCTTATGCATTTTAGAAGAATTGACTTTTTGGTTTGTTAAAACTTTTTACTTGTTAGGATGGAGTGGCCACTTCCAAGCTTCTCACATGCTGGACTCTAGGAAACACATCAATTAAATCTCTTTTCTTTTTTTCAATTGCATTTTTAATGGAAGAATATCCACATGGATGAATCATGTGCCTATTCCTCTCCCCTCCCACCCCACCTCTCAGGAAACATAAAGTATTTGGAGGACAAGGTATCTGCCTTCTTCCTTCTTCCTGGCTACATGATCTCTGGCCTTCCTCTGAATCTACTGAAAAATTTTTCATTGTACCACAGCAGTGAATTACCAAATTTGGACCTGTAATATTGAATCTACATCTAGCACATGTACCTATATAATTAGATTATTTGACTGGTCTGACTCCCCCACTAGGTTGGAGGCCATGATCTAGAAGTGGCTCTGCCCCATTAGAGGGACATCATTCAGAAATGCTAGGCAGCAGATCACCAGGAACCTGAGGGCCTCAGGACTGCAGTGTCCCCTGAAGCCACAGGCGCCGGTCTTTCACAGGCTGAATTATACAAAGGTGACCTCTACTGACCAAAGGGTGGAACTGTAGTTACACATCATGCGCCCCCTGCCCCGCTCTCTTTCCAGTAAAGGAAATGACCAACATAATCCCTGCTATCTACCAGGCACTTCACATATATTTTACCATGTGTCCTTGGATTTTTAATATTTTCATCTACAAGATGGGCACATAACTCCTACTTCATAGTCGAGGAAAGGGGGGTTCATAGAAGTGAACTGATTTCCTGAGTGCCCAGTGTAAAGAGGTACTGCTCAGATCTAACCCAGCTCTGTCTGAAGGCAAAGCCTTTGTTCTGTCTACCAGTCCCCTGATGCTCAAAGTGTGGTCCAAGGACCAGCATGGGCAAAACTGGGAGCATTTACAATGCAGACTGAAGCCCCACAGCAGATCTACTGAATCTACTTGTATCCTAAGGAGATAAAAATTTTGTCTGTACATTAAAGTTTGAGAAATACCCTGACTCCCAGGAAGTGTTAGCGGAAACTTGGCCTGTGGCCTCCTGAGTAGAAACTGAGTTTTCACATTTCTTCTGTAAATGTGGATTTCTGGTTATAAAGCATTTGTCATTTTTTCATGTACTATCCTGACACTGGCTCTCCTTTATCCTGGGAGGTAAACAAGGTCAGTGAGGATCAGTCCCACATTAGAGATCTGGAAACAGCAGCTCAGAGAAGGAAGTGACTTGCCCAGAGCCACTAGCCGGCTGACATCCCACCACTTGATGTGGTTTGGCTGGAAGGGTAAGCCAAGGGTTCCAGGATCTGATGTTGGTGCCGGCATGAGGGTTGGAAGTTCCTAAACTTATGTTCTGGGGTCAGAAGTCACCAGGCTAAGAGCCCTTTGCTCACTTGTTCATTCATGCATGGCAAGAGGGCTGTCTGGTTCCAATATTACTTCCTGTGTATCCCTGGGTAAACTATGTAACATCTCTCAGCTTTCACTTCTGCATATAGTTGTCATAAAGACCAAATGTGAATGATACAAGTGCTAGCACAAAGTAGGAAATCAGCAAGTGTTAGCTGATATTCATTCATTCATGCAACAACTATTGAACACTTGCTACGGGTGTTCCAGGCACTGGCTAAGATAACTGATGGATAAGGGAGATGTGCTTGCCTCTATGGAATTTACAGTCTAATGGGGAAGTAAGACAGACACTGATTAAGTCCTTGCAAGTCTTGGCTAAAATGGATGAGTGGATGAATTTGGCTATTTGTTTGCCTATAGCCTAGATGTAAGCTTTTCTTCCCTCTGTTTACTCAGAGAAAGTGAAACCACCCTCAAGCTCCTGGCCCACTAAGCAAGTGTGCAGCGTGGCCCAAAGCTATCCCACCTGTGTAGTCTTTTTATTTGGCTGCATAGCATGTGAAATCTTAGTTCCCAGACCAGGGATTGAACCCATGCTTCCTGCAGTGTAAGCTTGGAGTCTTAGACACTGGACCACAGGGGAGTCCCCCACCTGTCTAGTCTTCCTCCTTGGAGAGAGTCCCCATCTCCATCAGGAGGGAGGGATCTTTGCAAAATACCTGAGCAGGGCAGACAGTGTGAGAGGGATAGAGAGTGTGGGAGAAGGTGAGCTGGTTAGACTTTTAAGTCTAACTAGGGGCAGCCATTGATGACTGAAGCCATCCCAGAATGCTCTGCTCTCCTCTGCTTCTCCCCCACACCCTGGCCATGCTCCACCAACAATGGCCACTTTCCAGTTCCTCAAACCACCACGTTCCTCCCACCTTTGCAAATGCATTTCCCATGGCCTGGAAAGATCTCTCCACCTCTTCACTTCGTTCATTCCTACACATCCTTCATGGGCCAGCTCATATGTCACTTCCCTCAGGAAACCTTCCTTGACTCTCCAGAGAAGCGCCAGACCCCCAAATCTAACATTCTGTATTTTCCCTACTTGGCATGTATCACAACTCGTGTGTTTATATTTGTGATGACTTGCCAAGCATCAGTCTTCCCCAGCAGAGGGAGAGCAGAGCTGGTGTGTTTTGCTGAGTATCTTCTCCCCAGCTCTTGAGCATGGTGACTGGCTCCTCAACTGGGACAACGGGGCCTGCTCTCAACACCGGCCTCTGGAAGGGATGCTCAGGAGTTTGAAGCTCACCCCAAAACTTGAGGTTGGCGGGTGACATAAAACACAGAGGCCAATGTGTGCCTGCATAGGAGGGGTGTGAGCCAAGGCAGAGTCCCAAGTCAGCGGGGAAAGGCTGATGGGATGTGGAAGGCAGAGGTGTCCAGAACCACTTGAGGTTTCCTGCTCGGTAAAGGGGACGCAGTGGGCCCATTCTCAGCTCAAGGGTCATAGATGGTGAAGCAAAAAGTGCTTGTCACATCCCAGCCCCTACTGCCAGCCCCAGTCCGTCTTCCTTCTGCCAGTGGCCTGGACTGTCCTCGGCGTCAGACACAGACCACGCAGCTTAGCAGCACAAGTCCCTTTTTATTAACCATCCTTCCTGGTCTGAATGTGCACAAGTAAAAAAGAAAACAGTAAAATGCCCAGGCAGGGAGGGCAGGGGAAGGGGCTCCTGAGGTTATCAGGCCAGATTCCAGCTCATTTCTCCCTTACAGACCCTCACCTGTGATTGAAATGCAACATGAGGCGGTGGTGCAGCCCTGCTGATGTCCGTCCTCCCAAACCTTGTCCAGATGGGCGCTGGCGGGGCCTGGTGCTGTGTAGCAGGCTGAGAAGACAGCCACGTGGGCCTGGCCCTGGGGGAGCCTCGAGGGGATGTGAGGAGGGGCAAGTCAGCCAGTCTAGGACTGAGCAGAAGACTATGCGGCTTCAGCCAGCCTCTGCTTCTTATATCTCACTGCCCTAAGAACGTGGGTCCCTCTCATCCCCACTTCGCCATTCAGAGGTTTTGGGCAGGAAAGGCCAGGGAAAATGCTGATTGTTCCAGGTAGAGAAAGCCTGATTTGGTGCCTGGGGTTGGCCTGAGTGGCCAAAGTGTTCAAAATATGAAGGCGGAGAATATCCCTCCTAACCTCGCATGGGGCACAACCTAGCTATGTCCTTAACGTGATTGACAGGCCTCCAAGGCCAGGCCTAGTGGACACGTGGAGCTGAGGAAGTGGACAAGAGAGGGTTTGGTCCACCCCACTCCCACACTTAGGTGAGCAGGAGAGACTGAGCTCCATAGGAAAATGGGGTGGGGGTGAAGAGGTGATGGGGGAAAGGAGCAGACAAGATCCAGACTGGAAGGGAAACTTCTAGGCCAGCACGACTACACTCAAATGTTGTCCAGTCAATGACATGTCAGCCGCTTGTCTCGTCTCCGGGTACCTGGCTGGGGTTAACATGGAGGGCAGCGAGAAGCAGCAGCCACTGAAACTGAAGATACCAGACACAGTCACCTTGATCCTCACGAGCCCAGCCCGTGTGGCATTCCCAGCCTGCTCCATCACCCACTCTTGGGCCTCTGTCCCACTTTTAACTTTTTTTCTGGTCACACCTTGCGGCATGTGGGATCTTAGTTCCCTGACAGGGACTGAACCTGTGCCCCCTACATTGCAAGCAGAGTCTTAACTACTGGACCACCAGGGATGTCCCCACTCTTGTTGCTTTGAAAAGAGGGGCCCATCTGGAATCTAAGAGAGAAAGCAGACTCCCCACCGCGGGGAGAGTTCAGGGAGTACTCACAGCACCGTGGCACGGGGCGGCCCCTGGCCCCTGGCTCAGAGCTGGGCTGGCACCGTTTGTAAACATTAGACTTGGTGATGCCTGGGATGGAGGAGCAGAGGGATGCCTGGACCATCAGGTCTGGATAAAGAGGCAGGGCGAGACCCCAAAAGCCTTGGGAAATGTCAATCAGCCATGGGCAAGGGGGCTCTCAGGCTCTCTGCAGACCCAGGAGGCAGTGGACAGGCATCCATCTACCTGCTTTGGTGCACTCATATGCTTTCAAGCTACCTCTGGGACTTGCTAGAGGAAGCCACTGGTGGCTGGGCTGCCAACAGCCTGGAGCAGGTGCTGAGTCCCGGGGTGATGAGCAGAGCCTCTACTCAGGACAGGCTCCTCTGTGGAGGATGGCACCCCTTGGAGCACACTCTTTCTCCAGAGGCAAGTCAGGCTGAGTTCTTTCTTTGGAGACCTACCGACACTCTTTACCCATGGAGTCCAGACACGGAAAAGTCGAGAGGTGGAGGAGGGGAGGAGGTTCCCCTGTGACATGAGACTTCCTCCTACCATCCATAGCACTGCCAGGATGGGGGAGCAGGAAGGGAGCTGAGTTTGAACTGCTTATAGGGGTGGGGTCTGATTTCACCCCAGAACTGTTCCTGGAAAAGGATGTGCAGATGTCATCCCACCAGTGGAGGGGAATGATGCTGGGCCCAGGGTGGTCCTGAAGCTCTATGAGATGGGTTCCTGGGTCCAACAACAAAGGCCAAGAATTCTCTGGGAGGCAGTGGTTATGCCAAAAGATCCACAAAAATGGCGTTGGCTGTGGTCTGGCCGAAGATGAAGGCTCCCAGGGTGACCAAGAGGACTCCGTAACTGACCATCGCCCACCAGCTGTGGAGCAGAGGGTGAGAGAGGGCCTGGTCAGTCAACCACTCTTGACTTTGCTGACTTTCATATATATGAAAATGCATGTACTAAGTCACTTCAGTCATGTCTGAAGTCATGACTCTTTGTGACCCTATGGACTGTAGCCAACCATGCTCCTCTGTCCACGGGATTCTCCAGGCAAGAATACTGGAGTGGGTTGCCATCTATCAATTAATTACTGTAATTATTTATACCCCTTCTCCTGTGGGTAGAGCACTTCCTACTTCTCAACAGCTTTCACACAAGGGTTTACAGGGCTGGGTGGATGACTCCTAGACCACGGGTAAGGAGCCCAAGACCTAATGTGATTAGCTGACTGGTCAGGACACCAGGGGCAGGACCAGAATTAGAATGCATGTCTCCTGATGGAAAAGCTGGTCAGGAAAAAGCAAGTCACATGGAGTGATCCATTTTATTAAAAAAGAAGTCAAAAGACATCTGCAAACGTATATATAAAAAATAGCTGCAGGGTTATAACTGGATTTTTTTTTGGGGGGGGGGTTACCACATGGATATGGGATCTTAGTTCCCCTACCAGCGATCAAAGAAAGCCATGCCCCCCTGCTTTGGAAGAACAGAGTCTTAACCACTGGACTGCCAGGGAAGTCCCCACAAAAATTTTCTGTTTTTTTTTTTTTTTTTTAAAGTAAGCAACCTGGTCATAACCTCTCTACCATTCAGGAATATCTACATATTAAAAACAATGCAGTGTTTTGCAAAGTGTGGCCTGTACATACAATGAATATTATTCAGCCTTAAAAACAAAGGACATTCTGACTCATGCTACAACAGACAGACCTTGAGGACATTATGCTAAGTGAAAGAAACCAGGTACAAAAAAGAGAAATACAATTCCAGTTACAGGAAGTACCTAGAAGAGTCAGATTCACACAGAAAATAGAATGCTGGTTGCCAGGGGCTGGGGCGAGGGGGAACAGGGAATGACTGTTTAATGGGTACAGAGTTTCAGTTTAGGATGATGCAAAAGTTCTGGAGATGGCTGGTGGTGACCATTACACAAAAATACGAATGGAATTAATACTACTGAACATTTTAAAAAGGTAAAATTTTTAAAAATGTAGTGTTTTGTTTTCAATAGACTAAGAAATGTTGAAAAGGCCTCTATGTACTGTGGTGGCGGGATGTGGAGAACAGGGCACTTTCATTCACTGCTACTGGGATCTTGACTGGTACTGCCTCTAGAGGGGGTAATTTGAACCCATGTGCCAAAGTGAAAATGAGCATGCGTTGTGATAAAGCAACTTCCTTCTAAGAATCGATGACACTAAGATCCCTGAACAGCTGTGCCAAGGTGTATGTGCAGAAGTGTGTTCGCTTCAAACAACACATTCAAACAACAGATTCTACAGCCACTGAAATAGGAAGCAGTAGATCTTGTGTGGACACAGAGTGATCGCCAAGATACATGGTTCAGTGAAAAAAAGCAAGAGGTAGAAAAGCGTGTCTGGCTTGAAATAATTTTTGGAAAAAACCTAACCAGACACAAAAACCTATGTGTCTGAGTATACACACACATCGCTTTGTGTACACAGACATCTGTGCACACACAGGAACAGTCTACAAGGGCACAGGCCATGCTCATGACATGAAGCTCTCTCAGGAGAAGGGAGAGGGCGGTGGGGAAGGATGGACTTCCACGTTTTTCTCTAAAGTCCTTCAGAAGTGCTTGAACTGTTACAACTACGCGTTACTCATTTTAAAAGAAGTATTTTAAGGAACTTCCTTAGTGGTCCAGTGGCTAAGACTCCATGCTCCCAAAGCAGGGGGCCTGGGTTTGATCCCTGGTCAGGGGACTAGATCTCACATGCTATAACTAAGACCCAGCACGGCCAAATAAATAAATATATATATATATATTTTAAACAGTATTTTAAAAACTCCTGTTTTCAAAGTACACAGGTCTCCTGATTCCGACCCGTTTAAAGGGTACTTCCCCATCCAGCACCTCCCTGAGAGGCCCACAGGCTGGGCCCTGCTTTACCTGGCTGGCTTGACTTCCTCCATCTCAGAGAGTTTGGCTTGAATGAGGCACAGCCCTGGAAGAGAAGAGAGAGCTTGGGTGGGTCCCCCGGCCCACAGGCCAGCCTCCACCTTGGCCAGGAGACAGGGGAGGTGGATGCAGAAAGGCCTGTGTTTCCTCCACATTTTCCACTCTGCCTCTACCCTGCACCCCGCTGGAGGCCTGGCGACTGGTCTCCCAGGAGAGGTCCTTGGGTGGCACGCAAGAGCTAGAGCTAAAGGGGCGGCACTGGGAGGCGACTCTGTGCTGCCCTCACTGCAGGGCCCTTCCCAATGCACTTCCGAGTAGGTGTGGCCCCCTTGCTCCAAGCAAAGTGGCAAGAGCTTTCCAGGTGGCCTCTTGGGTAGAAATAAGCTGGGTATAGGTGGAACTCATGACTGGGCCGACAGGAAGGTTTCCAGGGGACCTGGTCTCCCGACCTCCGTGTCAGGGTGCCAATGCCAGACCCTAATTACCCTCTCAGGGGCTGACTCAGCCAGATCCCTGACAATCACGGAGGAATAGGTTCTTGAAATAAGAGTTAAGACTATATAGACTGTGGATCTGGACAGACTTCGGTTTGAAAAGGGTCTGTTATTCTTTAGTTGAGTTTGTTAACCTCTAGGGAAGTTTGTTACCCTCTCTGAACCTCATACCTCCTCGTGGGTAAAATGGAGATGACAACTACACCTTCTCTGCAGGAGGTGATGCTTAAACAGGGGTTCCCACAGAGCCTGAAGGTGATCAATAAACACGTGATTATGCTCCCCCGCAGGTGAGCAAGAGAGGAGCTGAGGCCAGGAGGGTCTGGGAGTGAGTGCTGTGGGGACAGCGGGGGTCCACACCTGGGAAGACAAAGATGAAGCAGGCGGCCAGGCCTCCGATGACTGAGATGACCTTGCCGATGTCAGGGATGAAGAGCGCCAGCAGCAAGGTGAGCAGGAACCAGACCAGCGTCTGCAGCACTCGCCGCCGCCGCTCTCGCCCCACGTCCTCCTCCACCGGCATGCCCTGGTAGCGCAGCCATAGGCCTTCGATCACCGCCCTGCCCACACAGAGAGTGGCTCAGAGGCATACCTGCTGACAGCAACCCCCCACTCCAGCCACAGAGCCAGACCCCCAACTGGATGGATTGTAGGTAAGACGATCCCTGAGTCTCAGTCTCCTCTTCTGTGAAATGGGTCTAGTGCCGTTCTTCTCAGGGTTGCCATGGGGACCGGATGGGATGGTGAATGTGAAAGACTGAGTGCCTTGCCTGGTCCAGAGTTTGCACACCCCATGGGAACTGATTCCACTAGACTCCTGGAAAGGGAGGGTCTGGGGTATCTAGAAGACAGGGTGTTCAGGAAGGGACCTGGATTAGAGGTTCTTAGAGCACTCACAGATTGTCCATGGGACTCTGGGACAAAGGTGGCCCCCCAAGACCTGGCTGGGGGTGCTTGCAGGGCCATCCTAGGCACTGTTTCCTATGGGCTTCAGTGTCTCGCTCTATAAAATCGATGTTACACAAGGCCCAAGGACCATGTTCAAAGGGCATCCAGGGGCCCTGGTGAGAAGAAGCACCTTTGTGGGGTGGGGAGGGGCTCACCGTCCGCAGAAGTGCAGGATAGGGTAGGAGGTGAGCACACTCAGGATGATGAAGGCACGGGCCACAGCCACAGCCACGTCCTCCGACGGGTAGGACAGGAGCACGTCAGGGTCCACAGCGGCCCCAAAGGTCAGGAAGCCGCAGATACCTGAGGGCGGGGACAAGAGGGCTGGGTCAGAGCGACCCCGGGAGGGTCAGGGAGATGGACCATCCCTTGCTCAGTCCAGCAGCAGATGGAGACGTGACAGAGCAGCCCTGGAGGCTAAGGCTGAGGCTTAGAAGGCTGTCAGGGCTGGGCTCAGAAGCCCCCTCCCTGACTTCTCACATTCCCCACCCCACACTGTTACCTCTTTGAACTCCCCCAGCAGTTCCTGTCTCAGAGCTTCTGCATTAACTTCTGCCTGCCCATCTCCTCATCATTCAGGTCTCAGCTCAGGGGTCCCCCGTCACCCACAGTGACCCCCGCCCCCAGGCACTCTCTCGACATCACCTTGATCTCTTTTCTTCACAGCGTTCCTCTCTCTTTGGTTTTTCTTTTTTTCACTTGTTTATCATCTGTCTCCCTCAACTAGTAAAAACATAAGCCCCAGAAGAACAGGGCCTCTGCCTATTAGCCCTCCCTTGTTCTTGGCTCTGTATTCCTGGCTGTGTCCGCAGAAGCTAGTACAGAGCTGGTCCTGAGCCCCATTGTGGCAGCCATCACTGGGCCACTCTTCCTGGTCTCCCGGTCCTGCTCCCTCTTCCACACCACTCTCCACACAACACGCAGAGCCAACCCTTCTCCGAGCCACACCCCTGCTGAAAACGCTTCCTCTCTGGCTCCCACCAGTCCTCAAGGATCTGGCTGTGCTCCCTGTTTGGCTGTGCTGCCCACCACCCACCCCCACAGCTTGCTCCACAGACCACCTTCTGTCCTGGCCTCAGGGACTCGGCATTTTCTCGTTCCTCTGTCTAGAATGCTTTTCCCCCGGGCTCTTCAGATTCTAGCTCCTTCTCATGGTTTGGGATTCCCCGGATGCCAGCTCCTCTGAGGGGAGCCGTCTGTGATCCAGCCCCTAAAGCCAGCCCCACTCACATCTTCCCTGGTTCACCGTTACCGTGGCACTCATCTGGATTTCCTTACTGATTACCGGTTTACTCCTGTGAGACTGTCTCTCCGAACAGACTGTCAATCTCAATACAAGCAGGACCAGACCTCTCTCTATGGCATCCCCTCCATGCTGAGAAAGCTCCTGGGGCTTACTGACTAGGCGCCCACTGAGAGCTGATGAATGAATGCATGCACTCATCTCTCATCTGGGAAGGAGGAGGCCCAAGGCAGCCCAAGTGCAAGCCAATGCCAACACAAGTATTTGACGTGCTGGGAATGCAGGGTTAAGCCCAGGAAATCCTGGGCCAGAGCACTTGGGAATTAGAGGGAGAGTGGGAGCCCTCTAAGCCTGGCCCTCAGCGGGGAGCACTCACCTGTGCCCATGTAGACAGCGAGGGCGATGACCATGGCGGCTGTCACCACGCCGCCCCAGGTCTTCAGCTCGGGCCGCCGCATGCTGTTGAAGACGGGTACGCTGCTCACGTGACACTGTCAGGGTGAAGGGCAGGGTCAGGGTGGGCAAGTGACCTCATCCCAAGGACAAAGGGCAGAGTCCTGGGGCTCCCACTCAGCTCCCCTTTCCAGGACCACCCGCCCCTGTCCCACCAATAATGTGGACTCCATCCCAGGATGGGGAGTGAGCTAAAAAGGGACCTTGCAACTGGCACCTGAAATCCGAAACAGATGGTGGGCATGGCGTTGAACACGGCTATCCAGGAAGCTGGCCTGCGGACAGACACACAAGATGCTGCTGCCCGGGAAGCCCTCGGAGTCCCCAGCTGCCCCAGGCCTTTACTCTTGAGTCAGCCCCCCACAGCCCCTACCAGCCAGCTACACACATCCCGCCCACACAAGTGCGGAGCTGGGAGAGGACACACTCCACAGGTCAGTAAACTGGGGCTCTGGGAGGCCCTCCCGGGACTCAAATCCAGAAGGTTTGGTTCTTGCACTTGGGCTTCTGCTTCTCTGGTTTGTTCCTTTCAAGAAAAAGGAAACCAAACTTCCTCTCAGTGGTAAAAAAAAAATACACCTTGCCTGCCAATGCAGGAGACAGGGATTTGATCCCTGGTCCAGGAAGAGCCCATATTTCGAGAAGCAACTAAGCCTAGGAGGCACAACTGCTGAGCCCACATTCTGCAACTACTGAAGCCCAAGAGCCTGTGCTCCGGGCTTGAGAACAAGAGAAGCCACTGTAAAAGGAGCCTGTGTGCTGCATCTAGTGAGTAGTCCCCACTTGCCACAGCTAGAGGAAAGCTCTAGAAGCAATGAAGACCCAGCACAGCCAAAAATAAATAAATTAATCAAAAAAAGTTTTAAAGCTTTTAAAAAAAGAAACCTTTCTTTAAAAAAAAATTAGAAAATTGATTCATTTTCACAAAGAAGATACAGGCAAGCACATGTTGAAAAAATGTGCAGTTCCACTTTGGCAGGGTCTATAACCTAAGGCCTAGTCTCACACTGGCTCATCTGTTGGACGTTAATGGCAAAGTGGCCCTCATCTCTGGTTCTTACTCTTTCCTCCAGTAAAAAGAGATCAGGACCTCTTGTCTCCTTCCTACAATGACCAATGAGTCAAACCCCTAATGAGCCTTGGGAATGTTTTTTTTTTAATGTATTTATTTGGCTGTGCCAGGTTTTAGTCATCGCATGTGCTATTTAGTTCCCTGACCAGGGGCCCCTGCATTGGGAGCATGGAGTCTCAGCCACTGGACCACCAAGGAAGTCTCCTGTGTGGCTTTTTGATGCCTGACCCAATATCTCCTGGGGCCCAAGTGCAGCTTCTATCCTGGGTGCCTCCTGGGGGCCCTCACTCACCTGTTCAGGGTGTCTGCTGGGCTCATCTCTTTATCAGGCCAGATGTATTTGATGATAATGATAGCAGTCACATACCAGGTGCCCACGACGCTCAGGAAGCTGCCAGGAAGGATGAATTAAGCCTCCTTCTCCCTAGTCCCAGCTGCCTCTTCAATTCTATCCCCAGGGACATCCATCCTTCACCTTAATGACCTGAAGTGTCTAAGGAACCAACTGGGAGATCACTCCAAACAAAAGACTTAAGAAATGCATGAGAAATATATTTCAGAGAAACAAGCCACAGTTAGGAAGCCAAGAGGGGACCAGACTGACACGTGTGGCCCCTGGGAAATGAGGTGGTTCAGCTCCATAGCTCAGAGACTGCAGCAGGAAGCGCTGGGCTTCAAAGCACATCTGTTACTTCAGTCAGAGCAGCCCAGTTATGGCCAGAGCTGCAAGCAGGGACATTGAGAAGCAGGAAAGGCTGGAGGTAGAAGGCTCCAAGGCATTAATACCAGAAAGTTAACATTAAAGGGAACCTTGGAGACACTGAGCGTGACCCCTTCAATTAAGGATCACAGGAAACACGTTAGAATACCTGTTTTTCAGATTCTGAGCCAAGAAGCTAGTCCCTTCCCTTCACACTGAGCTGCATGGAAAATGCTGCGAAGCTAACAATCCCAAATGATCAAGAAATCCCATGCTTTGTGAGAAAGACAAGGCTGAGGCCAGGAGAGGCCTTCACACTCAGGATTACTATCCGTCCCTTCTTGGACAAGGACATTTGGACCTGATGCAAAGAGCCACTGTCTCCCTAGCTGATGACACAAAAGGAAGGTCTTCTGCTAGAATCTCTGCAAGCCCTGGTCTGCCCCTGCCTCGTCCCCTCTTTCTGCCCCTGCCTCGTCCCCTCTTTCTGCCCCTGGAGGCAAGGTGGCATGGAGGAGCGGGGTTCCCCTGCTGCCCTTGGGTCTCTGACCGCCTGTGATCAGAACTGCTGTCCAGCGCAGGCTGGGGTGGGGCCTCCGAACCTGGCATATTTCTGGAAGCCGATCTCCCTGGGTATGGAAAGGGGCAGGATGAAGAGGCAGGCAGTGAGGCTGATGGTGAATTTGCGGTCTGTGTACCAGGGGCTGCCGCCGGCCCCCTCAGGCTCCTTTGCCATCACAGCTATAACTGCAGAGGGAGGAAGGAGAGAAGGTGATGCCAGTCTACTGCAGGGCATGGTCCTCCATCTCTGCCGGGATCGCCAACTGTCTCATACGCCCAGCAGCCAGGAGGGAGGATTCCCAGATGAATGCCAGGTCCGGGCTTTGGGTGGGTATTCCATGCTCTTCCCTGCCCACTGCAGGATTCCCAGGGCCAAGGGGGAGGGATGAGGTAGATACTGAAGGGGGACCTCACTCTTGTCCTGTTGGTCCCCGATGATGATGAGGAAGGCGATGCAGGTCCCGAAGGTGTAGGTAGCAATGGCGACCTCACACAGCACACCTGTCAGCTTGCCACACACAGCCCACACCACCTCCTGGTAGGTCCTCTCATTGCTGGCCTGGGAGCAGTAGGCCAGGATGACGAGGCCACTGATGATGAAAACCAGCATGGCCTGCAGGCAGGGTGGAGCAAGAGTGTGTGGTAAAGGTCTGGCAGCAAAGAGCAGCCTGGTTTTGCTCAGCGTTTACTGGCCTGGTGCCCAAAGCCCATTTGGCAAATGAGCCTTATCCTGCAGGGCAATCTTAACAGATTACTGGAATTGAGATTTTTCCTTAAAGACAAAAAGTTTTGAGGAAAATTTCAAACGTGAGCAAAAGTAGATAGAATGGAACAGCGGACCACTATGCACCCATCACTCAAATCTCAAATTCAAAAATCATCAATTCAGGGACTTCCCTGGTGGGCTAGTGGTTCCGACACCATGCGGCCAATGCAGGGAGGGCAGGTTTGATCCCTGGTGGGCAATTAATCTCCCACATGCTGTGTGGTGTGGCCAAAAGATTAAACACAAAACAGTCATCAATTCATGACCAGTCTTGTTTCATCTTGTCCCTCTCCCACTCTGGATTATGTTGAAGAAAATACAAGCTATCGTATCATTTCATCAGTAAATATTTCAACATGCAGTTCTAAAAGGTGTGGGCCCGCTTTTTAAACATAACCACATAACTATTAAATATGCAATTGATGTCTGAAATTCCCTAATTGTGAGGAAGGATTTTGAAACTTCATCTGGCCTCAAAGGAAAGAATGCTACAATAGTTTAATAATGTCAGCCATGTGTGGCAGAGGGGAGAGTGATTAGCATGTGTCACTGACCACCCCTGACCCAGAGCCTCCCTTCTGAGGCCAGGAGCCCAGACCCACCACTCTGCATTTCTGCCTGCCAGGCCCCCCTCACTCACCATCTGCAACGTGATGCCAGCTGCCACGCCCCCAGCAGTGCTGAAGGCTGCCGGGAAGTTGAGTAGCCCCGCGCCCAGGCAGGCATTGACAACGATGAAGATGGCTCCAAGTGTGGAAGTGGTGCCTCCGCCCAGACCCCCAGGAGGGGCCTCCCCCTCACTCTTGGGGGCTATGTCCACAGAGGGACTCTGCAGCAGACGGGCACGCTCCCCAGAGTCTGTGCTTAAGCCCCATTCATCAAGGTCTCTGTTGATGCTGACCTGGGCCATGGCCCCTGGAGTCCTGTTCCCGCAGAGTCTGTGGGTTCTGTCTCACGGCCTCATCCGCTGGGGAACCGAGGGAACACACCTTCAGCTGGAGGGTGCCCCAGACTGTGTGGGGCTGTTATCCTAGGAGGCCTATGGGTTCTGGCTCTCCTAAACCTAGATGCGAAAGGCAGGTATACTGTTATCCCAAGATAACAACTTTCCCAAGATCAAATGGTCTAGATTCAAACCCAGATGTGCCAGTGTATGGAACACTGCACTGGGTGCCACAGGGTAATGGCAGAGACAGACAGATGTCAGATGCAACTCCTGCCTGCTTCAGGCTTAGGGACCGACCAGGTAAATAAGACACAAACCCAGAAGAGAGAGGTACCGACATGTCAGCACTAGAGGCCGTGCATCAGGCAGGAGTGTCACGCACATATCTCATTCATTTCTTAGATGACAGTGGTCATAAGGTTCAGAGAGATCAAATCACTCATCTAGGATCACACAGCAGCAAGCTGCAGAGCAAGATTTAGATTCAGATCTGTCTGGCTTCTCAACTGGTTTCTACACCAGAGGGTCTGAAGAACAATCCTCACCTAGAACTGTGGGTATTTCAGTTTCTTACAGCCTGGCATACCTCCCTCCAGCCCAGAGTCTCAATTCTGTGGCGCTTTCAAAGCCCTTCAAAATTTCAATGAGGATTTAAATTCTCTTCTCCCACATGACTGACCTCATCAGTGCTCATCACAGAGGCATTCCATCTCATGCCCCCAGCACACTGGGGGGTTTAAAATGTCTAGTGAGGCCTCTTGGGTGGTCTGATTCTTGCCATGGCTCCTCCTGTGATGGCTGAACAAAGTTGGGAGCTGTAAACTCATCAGAGGGAAAAGGGGGCATTTGGGTACCCTCAGACATGTCACCAAGCATGCAACCAAGGGACACAGCTCCAGGGAAAATGTCTCCCTGCTGGCTCCAAATCCAGAAAGATCAGTCAGATACCCCAGGGCTTCCTCTTATGCAACTTGCCACCCAGCCAGCAACTCAGCAAAAAATCAAAGCAGTGAATGAGTACTGGAGGCAGTTTTGGTCTCTCAGGCTTCCAGGGTAGCGCCAGAGAGAACCATGTAAAGCTGGTGCTCCCCACACTGTGAGACCTCGTCCTCCATCCTGCTCACGTCTCAGACACAAGAAGTCTCTGCACTGCTCCAGAATCTCTTAGCCTCCCCTCCCCTCAAATTACTCTGCTCCATGGTCCCCAGCTTACCTGCTCTTTCCACCTTTCTGGCTTTGGTGGACAGAGAGCTATTCCTTATGGCACCTTCTCCCCCAAAATCTGAGATCTGATCCTCCCCACTTCCCTCTCTGCCTTCAATTTTTTCTTTCTCAAACTTCACCATTGCTGGTCAACAGAGTGAAGGCAACTGAGACGCTCTGACTCTTAACTCACAGAATGAAGCACCAGCTCAGTTAGGGAAACAGAGCCATGGAGGGAAAGAGGCTAATGTCCCAGGGGCTCGTTGGCAGTCAGAACTAGCAGCCTAATGCCCAGGCGCTCAGGCCAGGGCTGTAACCACTGCAGTAGGCCCCTGAGAGCCCAACGAGAGGAAGTACCCAGGCCAGCCTGGGGCCGAATCCCAGAAATACGAGGGGTGGGCTGCATTGGAAAATGGGCCACGGCCCACCCGGGACGGAGAGTGGGCTGCTGTGTGTTAAACTGGGGAGGGGATTCTGGGGCTTGACAGGTGGAGACCAGGTAGGGACAGGCCGGGATAAGGCGCAGCAAGGGCCGGCCGACCCCGGGCGGGCATGGGGCAGAGGATGCCAGGCTGCAGGGCCCTGCAGCGATTGAGTAGGGTTCTGCCACGATGGGGGCCTTGGGGACCCAGATTCCACCCTCCAGCAACCTGTACCTCCTTCCACCTACCTGCGGTCTTTCTAGCCCCGGCCGGCAGTGGAGACACGTGAGCAGCGATCACATGACTGCCGGGGCCGGGCCGGACCGCCGGGCACGCTGGGAGTTGTAGTTCTCTGCGGGAGTCAGTGTTAAACTGTTCAGTCGCCCAGTCGTGTCCGACTCTCCGACCCCCGTGAACTTCAGCACGCTAGGCTTCCCTGTCCCTCACCAACTCCCGGAGTTTGCCCAAGTGTATGTTCATTGCATCGGTGAGGCCGTCCAGCCATCTCATCCTCTGACGCCTTCTTTTCCTTCTGCCCTCGATCTTTCCCAGCATCAGGGACTTTTCCAGTGAGTCTGCTGCTGCTAAGTCGCTTCAGTCGTGTCCAACTCTGTGCGACCCCATAGACGGCAGCCCACCAGGCTCCCCCGTCCCTGGGATTCTCCAGGCGAGAACATTGGAGTGGGTTGCCATTGCCTTCTCCAATGCATGAACGTGAAAAGTGGAAGTGAAGTCTCACAGTCGCGTCCGACTCCTAGCGACCCCATGGACTGCAGCCCACCAGGCTCCTCTGTCCATGGGATTTTCCAGGCAAGAGTACTGGAGTGGGTTGCCATTGCCTTCTCCTCCAATGAGTCTACCAGCTTTCTAATCCTCATCCCCAAAGCTTTGCCCTCGGTGTTTCCCAGCATCAGGGACTTTTCCAATAAGTCTGCTGCTGCTAAGTCACTTCAGTTGTGTCCGACTCTGTGCGACCCCATAGATGGCCTCACCAGGCTCCCCTGTCCCTGGGATTCTCTAGTGAAGAATACTGGAGTGGGTTGCCAATAAGTTTACCAGCTCTCTAATCCTAGTCCTGAAAACAGTGTCCCAAACTAGTCCTGGCACCCTGCCCGCCTGTATTTATCCCCTTACTTTTAGTTCTGGGTCCCTTGGCCAAACCACACACTTCTGCTTCCTTTTAGGAAGAGCTTAGGGAGGTTTGGTATCTTTGCCAGTCCTGGTGCCCCGTGGGCCCTGGCTGTTTGGCTTCATTGTCCTCCTCTGTTTCCCTTCTTGCCTTCACACCCACAGACAGGGACTCTGGACTTTTAAACTCAGGATAGCAAGGGGTCATCTGTACCTCCTTGAGCTGTGGCTGGCCTGAGAGTTGTTCATATTAATAGTTATAACCCTAGGGCCTGGATTCTACAACTGAGGATCTGAGGCATTGGTGTCACTCAAACAAATATTTTTGAATGAAGCAATCAGTGTCCAGAGCCCTGGCTTCTGTTTCTGGCTGTGTGCCACTTGGAAGCTGTCACATAACCTTTGGCATTCCAATGATCTTATCTATATTACCTCCTCTCCATGCATCAAAGGTCCTTGCTCGTGAGATTCTGTGTACTGCTTACCTGGTTTCCCTCAATAGTGACATTTTGCACAATTACAGTACTGTATCACAACCAGGATACTGACATTGAACATGATCAGTGGATCATGTTCCATTTACTCAGTCACATTTATAGTCATTTTTGGTGTATATTTAGTTCAATACAACTTAATCATGTGTGGGGTTTACAAATATACATACACCACATTCAAGATTCTGAATATTTCCATCGCCACAGGGATCCCTCCTGTTGCCCTTATATTAACATAACTACACTCACCTCTCTCCAGCAAGGCCACCCCCTTCTGTAACTCCTCTCAATCACTCATCCATGGCAGTCAACTCCATTTCTAAAAGGTTCTCATTTCAAAAAATGTTTTATAAATAGGGTCATAAAGTCTGTAAATTTTTAGGATTGACTATTTTTATCCAGCATAATTGCAGGAAGACTCATGCAAGGAGTATATGTTTTGTTACTGAGTAACAATATTCCATGGTCTGTGCACAGTTTGTGCAACTAATCACTTTTTTTTTGTTTTTTGTTTTTTTGGTTGGCATAAATTTCCTTTAATAATTTCTACATTTAGGATTTCATTTGAGGTTTAACGTATCAAGCCAGTATTGTTTTTCAGTTTTAGTAATTCTGGATTCCAGGTCATTTAAGATGAAAATGGAAATGCAAAGTTTACTTAAGAAATTTAATTTTCTTCTTCTGTAACATCTATGTCTTCATCCTCTTCATCATCTTCTTCTGTTTGCTGATCCTTTCTTAGTCGACAGGTCAATACCTGTCCTGTTCCAGAAACACACTTAGCTGACAATGATCTTTGAAGAGGTGACTTCGAATTTGCTCTTACAATATCTAAACGGGATGGATAATCTTGGGGATACAGAGAATGTTGGAAAACCTCTAAATCTTCTTCTTCATCAATCTTTTGTATATTTTGGTAGGCAGCAGTGTAGACCTCTAAAGCTTTGCCGTGAAATAACATTTCAATAGTGATAAATTCTGAAAATATAGTCTTTATATCCTTTATTTTCTGCTTTTCAAAATTGTCAATAGTTTCCTCCAGATGACGAGTTGTTCGGGTAGCATCCATTGTAGCTCTTTGTAATTCAGTTTCTGCCTGTGAAATAACATGTCGATCAGATGGATTTCTCTGACGTGTTCTTTCTAACTGAATTAACTGTTTAGCTTCTCGATTCCTTGCTGTTAATGTTGCTTTGAGATCATCTTGCTTCATTTTTACAACGGTTCCATAAGCTTTCAAAGGTTCAACTACTTTGGCTTCAAGTCTTTCAACCTCGGCTTGTCGATAATCCTGATGTTTGGCAAACTCGTCCGCAAAGTTTTTCAGGCCCTGCTTTAAGTGCGGGGTCTCAGTAGAGGCATACACGTTGATTTCGTTCACCAGGAGGTCCGCTTTGTCTCGCAGTCGGGCGGTTTTCCGCACGTAAGCAGCAAAGATCTGGCACAGCTCTCCGAAATGTTTCTCCGCATTGGTGACAGCATCTTGCAGTTGTCTAATCTGAGCATCCCGGTTTTCCAAGCTGCGCCTCAACATGCTGCCTCGCTCACTGCTGGAGACCCCGGGCTGAGGCCCAACCACAGGGTCTCGGCGCCCGGACGTGCGCCGGGGCGCGAGAGCCCGCCCCGCGCGCGCCCCAACTAATCACTTTTGAAGGACATCTGAGCTGTTTCAGGTTTTTTAAAACATAAATGATTTTGCTGTGATTTATGAATTTTATCACAGAATTCATACTTTCAGTGCCCAGTACAGTGGTTTTTAGTATATTCAAAGTTTTCTTGTTACCAATACCTAATATCAGAACATTGTTATCACTCACCCCCAAAACCCTGCAACTATTAGCAGTCATTCTCCATTCCTCCCTCTCCCAAGCCCCTGGCAACCACTAATCTACTTTGTGCCCTGCATAAACGGTCTTCAAGATTCATTCATATTGAAGCAGATTTTAGTACTTTATTCCTTTTGATTGCTGAGTATTATTATATGTATGTATGTGTATGGCTACATCAAATTTTGCTTATTCATTCGTCTGTTGATTGGACGTTTATGGTTTCCATTTTTTGGCTCTTATGAATAATGCCACAGTGAACATTCAGGTACATGTTTTTGTATGCACATGTTTTATTTATTTTAGGTAAACACGTAGAAGTAGAATTGCTGGGTCAAATGGTAACAACGTCTAAGCTTTTGAGGAATTGCCAGACTGTTTTCCAAAGCAATTGTCCTATTTTACATTCTGACCAGCAGATGTATAAATGTTCTGTAAGTATAACTGCATGTGTGCTCCGTCGTGTCCAACTCTTGGCAACTCCATGAACTACAGTCAGCCAGGCTCCTCTGTCCATGGGATTTTGCAGGCAAGAATAATGGAGTGGGCTGCTATTTCCTACTCCAGGGGATCTTCCGAAACCAGGGATCGAACCACCGTATCTTGTGTCTCCTGCATTGGCAGTGGATGCTTTACCACTGTGCTGCCCGGGAAGTCTGTAAGGGTTCTAGTTTCTCTATATCAATGAAAACTCTTGCTATTGTCTGATTATAACCATCCTAGTGGGTGTGAAGTGATTCTCATTGTGGTTTTGAATTGCATTTCCCTGATGACTCATGTTAGCATCTTTTCATGTGGTTATTAGCTATTAGAATGTCATCTCTGAAGAAGTGTCTAGTCAGACCCTTGTTCCAGTTATTGTTTTTTTATTGAGTTGTAAGATTCCTTTATATATTCTGGATACAAATCCCTTGTCAATTATGTGACTTGCAACACCATTCCCAACATGTTTATAAGACTTTTAAAAAAAGAAAAAGTTGATCTTTCAGTTATTAGATAGAAATAAACCATTAATTTCTATTAAAATTTTTCCAATCAACATACTCCAATAAAAATTAATTAAAAAAATTTCCACAGCATAGGAGTAAGGAAAAAATTCTCAAAAACAAAATTCTCAAGTTGGTTGAATGAGCTGGACTTTGGTTGTTTAGAGGTAAGCATGAGGCAGTTTGGTCTAATAGCACCCAATGGCTGGCCCATGGGTCGGCTGTATCTCTGCATCACCTAGAAAGTTTATTTTTACTATTATTATTAAAAAAAAAATTCCAAGCCTTACCTCAGACATACTGAGCCAGAATGCCTGGAGGTAAGACCAGGGAATCAATATTTTAAAAATCCAGATTTGAGAACTATTCTGCCTTAAATTATAGTGAAACAAAGGCATGACTTCTCTTTCTGGGCAGGCAAACCACCTCCTCTATCAAGTAGAAGAATATTAACATCTTAGACTCCAGTAGGAAACAAGGAAAAGGTTTGTGGCAAACAGACTGAACTATCAGAAAAACATCAGGTTCACACCCTGCATGACTTTTCGGTGAGGAATAGGACTTAGTCCAGGGTGAGCTGGGAATGGATGTGTTTAAAAATAACAAGGTCGGCCACGTGGTCAAGTTCCTTTTCCAGCTGAGGTCTTGATGGCCAACTTTCAACCACTTTGGCTCCAGACGGGGCGACTTTAAGCAGTTTCGTCTATGAAAGGCAGTCACAATGACTAATCTGTTGCCTGTTTCCCCACTTAAGATACCTTCCCAAAGCCATCCAGAGACTCAGTCCATTCACTTGACCTTTCATCACCTTGGGATATCCATTAGCAACAGGAACACACAGAGCCAAGAGGCGGGAATGAGCCCATCATGCACTGTGTCTTTCTCTCAGAAAGTGAGGAGATGCAAGGGGGAAGGACCAAGGTGAGCCCGTTTTCCCCTCCTCACTATAATCAAAACACTGTGGATGGGCTCTGGGCCTGACCCCTGCTCCATGGCCTGTCTGCCCAGAGCTGTCCTGTCATGAATGGCTCCTGGCATGAAGTATAAGGTGACAGGAAAACCTTGGGATGTTTGCTGACGGAGCATGTGACTTTATGGTAGAGGCTGCACACTGGTGATCTAGTTTGCATCTTGCTTATAAGTCATTAAAAAAAAAGAATTAGTTGCCAGCTTTTAAGCATCAATAGACCTAAAAAAAAAAAATCAGGATTTCCATTTGAAAAATTGAAGACCTGCAGCCCTGGGTTTTTGTTTTCACAGTACCTGTCAATTACTTCTCTACTATGTCTCACTCTGAGGATGTTGGCTCGTCACCAATAAGCATCTCATGTCAAGTTCACATCACTTTTTTACTCTACATGCACTATTTATTTATATTACCTACTTGAATCATGTAGATATCTGAAGTTGCCACCTCCCCATCATCTCCTCATCACTGTCTATAGCCACAGGATTTTGAGGTACTCCACTTACTTGTTCCCCCAAGGTCCAAAGGATTATACCCACATTTTCAACATTATGGGACTGGATATAAGGAATGACACCTAAGATGTGGCTTTAGTTTACATTCGCAACAGCTAAAACATCTCTTGGCTTATGGTCACCTGGACACAATTTCAGATTCTGGGGATATATACCCACTCATACCTTTTCATCCCATTAAAGAAAAAAGATAACATGGTAGACAAGTTGGATCTACAGCAACTTTATTGTAACAGAGAAACCAGGCTGCAAGAAGTCTACATGATCAGAGCAAATGGTGGTTTTCTTTCCAGAGGGTGAAGCCTGAGCCCAGCTGGCAGCACACAAAGGTTAAAACTGAAGCCCAGAATATCCTCTTTCCTGGTTCTACCCTGCACTGCCTGACTCCTGATGAGATGACTGACTGCACGACCACACTGCACAGAGGTACGAGGGCCAGCTGGGCAGAGGCGACATCCCCACATTGCAGAGGATGCCAAAATAAAGTGCAGTTACGAGAAAAGCGAGGGTATTGGGATGAGCAGTAAATAATGTTTTTCATTCTTCAAATAAGTAAATCCTATGGGATGGGATTGATGGTCACTCAGGGAGTAGGACAGGATGAAAATCTGGGCTAGTTACAGATCTCTGTGCCCGAGGAAAGGAACAGCAGTGATTAGGGAGAAAAGAGGAACATTAAAATCCTGCAGGTACTAGAAAGGAGAGCCTTCTTTCTCTTTTTCTTAAATAAGTTGGGAAACAGCATCTTTTATTTTCTGCTACTACAGTGGTAGCAGACTCGCTGTAAAACATGATTTCCAAAAAAAAAAAAAGAAAACATGATTTCCATAATACAGTTTGTTGACAAGTTGCTCAGTCACGGGAGGACAAACATGAGGCTGACTGCTAATGTTAGAACTTCATATTTTCACAAAGCCTCTAACAGGTGCGGTTTTCAGGCTGGTTCTACAGAGAAACCCGTGACACCAAAAGGTGTTTCACTTAAAGCTTCTGAAATATTGCAATGGTGTGATTGACAGGTTTTTTTTTTTTTTTTGGACTTTCTCGTACATGTAAACTCTGGTGGAAAAACTGGAAATAAAGGATGATGGTGAGTTTGGTTTACAGCCACAAAGTTCCTGACACCAGTCACAGGTGCCTCCGCCCTATTTCACTGCACATTCTTTTCTGAGAAACACATTCAATCGCTGAGTTTTAAAGTACTGTGGTTGGAAAAAAATGATCCGCTCACCACCATCCACCCTCCCTCTTCCTCCATGTGAATCTCCTAACAGCAGAGGCTGAAGACAGGAAGGTTGTCTCTGTTCCCACTGACCAGGGGAATTACTTGGTGACCTGGTGAATGGCGTGAGAAAGGTAGCCCACGTTGCCTGAGGTGACCCCTGCCACAGAGATGCGGCCATCCTTTGTCATGTAGATGGAGAACTCCTTGGTCAGCCGCTCCACCTGCAGAGAGAAGAGTGTGTGGGTACTTTCTGCTTGAGGGGGGTGGTCTCCCCAGCCCTGGCACAGCACAACTAGCCAATGGTTAGAACAGAAAAAAAATAGCAGAAGCTCTGTTTTCTCACTTAAACCCATTCCCAGAGTTTGGTGTGTTAGCTCAGAACAAAAGAGGAATAAAGAATAAGATAGCTATCTTAAAGTAGGATGTTGAATTCTGAGATGGGGACAGGTGAAAAAAAATCTTAAGATTCAGCATTTCTAGAAAAACTGATCCAGAATCTAGCTACGGAATAGCTACTTCTCCTATCAATATTCAGGCTCTTGCTTGTTCTGGAATCTTTTTGAGAAATGGTGCTGGTCATAAAAGTGACCAAGAGAAGCTCTGTTCTTCAGAAGTTTGTAACCTCACAGAGTAAACAGATAGGTAAAGTACTAACAAAAGGTAAACGACTAACAAAGAATAAAACGAAATGAATGCTTCATACTTCTTTTACCTAAAAAGGCTGCAAAATGATTCTTCTTAGAGTAATCCTAAATACACAGGTGACCTGAGGAATTCTGGTTTGCAAGGACTGATCAATTTCTCAGTGGGAGAGAAATGGGAGTCTACTCACCTGTTCAGGCTTTAGGCCTGTGTAACAAAACATGCCAATCTGGTCAGTGATGTGCTGCCAGTTGTGGGAGGAGCCCTCCTTCTTGAGGTTGGACACCAGCTGAGTCCGCATGCTGATGATGCGGTCGGCCATGCCCTTTACTTCTTGCAACCTGTAAAAAAAAAAAAAAATTCCCCAAGATGTAGCTCCGTTCTGGCCAAGTACTGACAGATAAGCCAGCTCTCAGCACTTTTATTAATAACCTCCCTTGAGTACTCTCCCAGGGTGCCTCAATTCTCTATTCTTGACCAAGTCCTGGTCTGGGAAGAAAGCTATTTGATAGCCTTCTGCTTTATATCAGAACACTATGATCAAACAACTAAAATAGTTGACATAATTGAGTTATTAAGGAAAATGAACAGAGTGCCTTTCTACCTAGCAGATGGATACTGCCCAATTTATGAATTATTTAATAAAGCCAATTAGAATTTCAAGTTACAAAAAAAGAAAAATGAATAAATCATTCTAAAACTTAGGAGGGCTAAGGCTCTCCATCTTTTATGCAGGGGGCAAAACCTTCAAATTAAACAGTAAAATATTACCTTATTCTTTAACATGGATGGAGGAAACATTTCCACCTTCACAGTTAAGACAGTGTGCTGTGAAATGACTATGTGCCCAGCCATATCTAAGTGCTGAGGAGAAAGACCTAGCTGAGGATAAAGACCTAGCCCTTGCCTTTAAAAGCTCACCACCCGTGGCCGGGGGCATACCTGTAAACAACCAACTATGGAACAAAGCAGGACAAGCTATGAACCAATAGATGCGTGCCGTGCTAAGAGAGCCCTGAGAAGAGAGGGTTAATTCCACCTAGGGGAGCAAAGAAAGCAGTCTTCTGGATTCAAGACACAGTCTCCCCCTTCCTCAGAGGAACTACGCTTTCATTCCATTCCTGTGGAGCTCTGGACAATTCTTGTGGGCTCTTACCGGCTAGATGACTGTGAAGAATTTACCTCCTTGTTCTTATGTGTTCACTTTTCCAAACCATCTCTCTATGATGGTGTCATGCAGAGTTAGAACAGAGGTTACATGTTGCCAACTAAAGGTCAAATAAGAGTCTTAGTCGGGTCTTATTTGACCCTGTTAAGCATTCCTAAATTTGGTACTTGCACATAAAGATGTAGATTTGCAGCCTCTCTTAAAAAACAAGAAGCTGGCAACATTGCATCAGCAGTGAGATTACTGGCTGGAGCTGGAGCCCCTGGCCCCACTGAGGATGGCATTTGATTTTAAATTTCCTGTAGTCCTATTCATCCAGCTCCATTCACTTTGAGCCTGGGCCCTAAAGGCACTGAGCACATGAAATGGCTAGATGCAGGGCCACCTCAGCAACCAGTGCCCCCAGGGATCACATCCACGATCCCTGTTGGCCACAGAATGAAGATCTGGCTTCTTACAATATCAAAGTACATGATCTGCTCCCAGCTTCCCAGCTTTGCTGCCCTCTGCATCCTCCTTACACTAAGTGTTTCTGCCACAAAACTCTCGACGTTCAAAGCACACCCTGCACAATGCGCATCATGCGCCTGTGCTGATCCTCACGCACATCTCTCCCTCCAAGTTTCCTTTCGCCTCCCTTTCTTTGGAAAAGAGCTCCTTCTCTCTTCAAGGCACAGTCAAATGACGCTGTCTGCATCATATCCTCCCTCACTTCCCACTAATCAATAGCTCTTCCTTTACTCAGCATTTGTCCTGTCTGTCTGTCTTGTATCAATGCTATACATGTTATCTCTCTCACTAGATTACAAACTCCCCAAAGGGACCTACATCTTAGTCACCTAGCACAGTATCTCTGTCATCTCTGTACACTACAGACTTCAAATAAATATTGAAATGCACACATTAAAAAAAGAATAAACATCTTGATAACTATTAAGGACCATGGAAATCTTTTTTAAAAACCACTTAAAAATTAAGGAAAAAAGGTTATTATAATTCTTTGTGACAAAAACAAACCGACCCTACACATATATATCTAATATATAGACACATATAATACATAGACATATTATTCATGTTACAATAAGAATAATAACAGCAAAGGGAAAAAAAAGTCTGGGTTATAGTGACTTGCCCAAATTTCCTGAAATGTAATCACACAATAATTTTGTAAAAGAAAAAAATAAAATTCTCATTTAAAAAGTAGTTGATTTTTTAGTAAGCCTAGCATATATCTGAAATATCCTGAACCAGACTCTATTTACCCTCAATGTTCATAGGATTAATTTAAGGTAGAAAAAATAGTTGTCACATGATGTCCAGGTGAGCTGAGGATGAAGTTTCCTACAGACTTAGCTTTTCTATCCCATTAGCCGCTTAGGGATCTACCCCTCAGCTAATCAGCTATACAGGATAAACTCTTACATAACAAATATATCTTCCAAGTCTCTGAATTATATTGAGCAAGGGTTGGTAAGCTTTCTCTAGAGGGCTAGATCATAAATATATTAGGTTTTGTGGGCTGTATAACCCTCTGTTACAACTATTGAACTCTGCTGTTGTGACATGAGAGCATCCATACAAATTCATCAAGAAGAGGGTAGGGCTGTGGGTCAATAAAATGTTATTTACTAGAACTGGGGCAGCCTAGATTTGACCTGCAGAACAGTTTGCCAACCCCTGATCTAGAGCAATGTTTTCTAAACTGTGGTCATGACCCATTAGTAGGTCATAAACTCAGTATAGTTGGGGGCAATTGGCATTTAAAAAAAAATTGGAGTATAGCTCAGGAAGACCAAATATTGAGTTTTGAAAGCTGTGTGTGTATATACACACACACACATATATAGTATATATATATGTATATAGTTTCAGTTATATATTCATATATACATAGGTGATGATGTAAGACATAAGCTCTATGTGGATTGATTAAAAGAATCTTTTTTTCTGAGTAACACTAATTTAGAGCACAGGTGCCAACAGATTCAGATAGTATAGATAATATAAAATATGCAGAAATACCAATTCAGTGCTTGCTATTGGAACTGCTGTTTCTGAATTAGGCCTGTCTCTTACAGGGGAAAACCAATTTATTTGTTTGAAAGTGCTGACAAAATGCATACTCCTCTCTCCTTCTTCCCCTTACATCTATGGAAGCTGAGTGAGAACTGCATGCCCCTATAAGCCAAGTGTAAGGGAGCTCTGAAGGATCAGTGGTGGGAAAGGCAGATGGCTGGGGAGGTGCAAATCGCCTTTACCATTGTTTCCGCAAATCTGGGCTGGTCAGAATAGTGGAGGCAATGCGGGCCCCATTGATTGGGGGGTTGGAATACATGGGACGGATCAGGATCTTCAACTGGGACTCAACTCTTTTGGCTTCCTCGGCATCTTTGCAGACCACAGTGAAGGCTCCCACACGCTCACCTGAAAAGACAAAATGGATCTTGTCTTCTGGTTCTCTGATTGAAAATGATAAAGGCAATCATGATTAAATTTGCTATGTCTTATATGTTTCCATTAGAAGCACTGCAAAAATAACTCTTTGTTATAAACACATCCTCATGTGCAATCCCTCCCGCCTTCACTCTACACTTTTGTGGCCCCTTCTCCCAGCACTTCTTCAATCTCAACAGAACACACATCACCCTCAGTCCTTTAGCTTACCGTATAAGCCCATGTTCTTGGCATAGGACTGGCAGAGACAAACATTAATGCCCTGTTCGATGAAGTGGCGCACAGCCCAGGCATCCTTGTTACCATCGCCACTGGCAAAGCCTTGGTAGGCCATGTCAAAGAATGCAAAGAGATTGTTTTTCTGGGAAGGAAAGAAAAGATGACCAAAGCTTTAGGCAGTCCTTCTCAAGACGCCCCAGATGATTACCTGTGCTTATCGGACCATGCCTGCTTTGCTCAGAGTCAACAGTTTTGTCCCCAGGTGTCAGTTTGGAGATGTTTAACTTTCCTAGAGTTAAGAAATTAACATATGTATATATTTTATGTTGGTGGATATAAGCCTTCAAGAAGACATTAAGAAAAGATAATCCAATCTGGAAAGAATGCTGTGTGGTCAAACAGGAAAACTGTTTCCTTGTTTTTTGGCCCAGCTGTGCAGCATGGAGGATCTATCTTAGTTCCCTGACCAGAAATTGAACCTGTGCCCCCTGCGTTGGGGAGAGCAGAGTCTTAACCACTGGACTGCCAGCGAAGTCCAAACAGGAAGCTCTTCTAAGGCCCACAGTGGTCTGGGTAATCCTTTTGGTCCAGTCAACATAGGACTAGCCTCAGTCTTTCCTGGGGCTAATGCGACTCTGGCAGGCCACCTTATTCCAGGCCTCATTATAACCATCTCATCTGGAAAGTGCTCTCTGAATACTTTTCTCTGACTCGTTCTGTTCGCAGCTTAGGTTTGACAGAATCTAAAGAAAGGGGAAACTGAAAGGAAAGAGAATGGGGACGTGAGGCAACAGGAGTATCTTCCCTCCTTGGGAACTTTGAGGAGTCCCTTCTCTCATAGAAGAATGAGAATCACTGTGAATAATTAATGGCAGTGCTGAGGAGAGTGGCAAAGACAAGAGGGGATGTAAAACAGTAGATGAAAGGAAGACCAGGTAACCACTGACCAGGGCAAGGGGAGGCACCACCAGCAGATACCACAGGGCTGAGGATGCCAGCTGTGCAGACTAGCCAGGGACAAGTTTTATCAGAATCCCATACATCTTGGCTGAGGAACAAAAGGTGATTTTCAAACTCCTGGTGTATCATGAATTACAGAACTGCTAATTATGCAAATGAGGAATTCTTTCCTGGTGACTACACAATGTGTGGAAATTTCATGCAGCCTTGAGGTTAATTCTCACTGCTAAGATGCTGCCACCTGAAGCGTCCAAGGCCAGTTCCTAGACGCAGAACAGTCACTGGTCAGTTCACCCCCCTCACCTTCACCACTGTCGCCATCTCCTTCCACTGCTCAGGACGAGGGTCCACTCCCGTGGGGTTGTGGGCACAGGCGTGCAGGAGAATGACACTCTGCGCTGGTATTTTCTAAAGAGAACAAGGACCAAGAGATTACTCTGCAGATCTCTCTCACCAGAGATCATTTACCTGAAATGCCACAGGGTCGCCATTATTTGATAAGTAACGAAGATAACATGAGGTCTGGGAATTAGCTCATCTTGGTTTTTTTTTTTGGCCACTCCATGTGTGGCATGTAGGATCTTAGTTCCCTGACCAGGGATCAAATCCGTAACACCCTGCAGTGGATGGAGAGACTTAACCACTGGACCACCAGGAAGTCCCTCATCCCAGTAAGTTGGATATTGAGACCCAAGCGGGAGACATCAAACATCCACAAGGAGGTTTATTCCTTTTTCCCGCCCCCTCCTGCCCTGGAGCCACACTTACTGAAATGTCCTCAATAGCGCCTGTGAAGTCAAAGCCGCATGTCTTGGGGTCATAGTACCGGTAACTCTGGAGTTGCATGCCAGCATCCCTGAAGATGGGTGTATGATTCCCCCAGGTTGGTTTGGGCAGGAAGACATCCCGGCTGAACTTAAAAAATCTTTGCTAAAAGATCGAATGAAAGTGAATGGAAAAATGAAGAAAGGAGAGGCAAAAAAAAACCAAGTTAGTATATTTTACTGAGAGGACGTTTTTCTCTACTGAAAGTCAGCTTCTCTCTACGATTGAGAGACAGTGGTGACTCAGCAGTGAGACTTCCTGGGTTGGTTCAGGTTCCGACAATTATACTGGGCTCTGTAGCCAGGATCTGTCTGGGCTCACTTTCTTCCTCTGTAAAATGGCATTAACTATGTCTCCCTCAGAAAGATTACATATGTTAAAATATAAAAGCTCCTAGTTACCGTATGTGCTCAGTAAGTTATACTTTATAATAATCTCTTCCTTATTGTTTCTTCTAAGTACTTCCTCCCCTCCTCAAACTTTATTTATCAGAAAACAGGAAATCTTCCAGCCTTGTGGAAAGAGGAAATCTACTTCCAGGTCAGAAGTCAAACACATATACAGTTGGGAACCCCATCACCCCTAACTTACAGACCGTCTTACAGCTCTTTCCTGAAGGAGTTTCCAGACTCACCAGAAAACTGGCTCCGATCCTTAAGGCCCCGGTTCCGGAAATGGTCTGCACAGTGACATACTGGAGCAGAGAGGCGAGTGGTCAGTGAGGTGCGCCACTCTCCCTACGGGCCCACGACTTAACCCACGGAGCCCAAGCCCACAGAAAGGCACTGTACACTCAGCACCCCTCCCGCTTCAGAAGCCGAGGGCATCCTTCCAAAAGAAGGTTTGGAAACAAGAGGACAGCACTGTTGTTTTCATTCCATTTTCTAAGAGACAGATGGACTCTCCCTACAGGTTCTCAGAAGAGCTGGCTCTTCACCTTCCAGCACCTTTGCTGATGTGGAAGCTAATTCCTTATGGCCTGGCCTGAAAATTGTCAGTGTCATACTGTGCTGTAGTATAAATTTTCAGGACACAACTCCCGCCTCAACCAGATATGAAAAAGGAGTGATTTATATAGAGGAAAAAAGACATGACCAACAGCCACTACATTAAAATATTATTCTAGACTTAGATGAAATTGAATGACTCTCTGAACATGAAAAAGCAAGTCATCTTAAAAAGTCGACAAGTATGTTAGAATAACATTATTACATGAATCATATCCTAAGTGTTTTCATAATCTGAAAATATCTTTAGGGTAACAGGGAAATGGCCTCAGTAAATCTTCAAATTGGTCAACTTTAGGGGATGAGGAAGAAACTAAAGTAGGGTTTTTTTTGTTTGTTTGCTTGAAGGCACCACAAAGTACTATGCTCTACAAAACATAAGTCTACCTTCTGGACTGGGAGGCGGTGCATTAAATGGTGGGAACCCCTACTAATGTACTCTTTTGTAAACAAAGTTTGCCTGTGCAAACTTCGGCATGATAGAAATAATAACCTAACTGTAGATCTGATAATAAGACTGACAAAGGCATGGCAATTTATGAAAGAGAAACTGATGTTATTTTATTTAAACTGTTATTTTAAGATAGGCCAGTCTTAGCTGTAATTTGCTCGAGGAACACAGACTAAGCAACAATTACAGAAAAATATAGACATTTTAGTGAGGGGTAAACAGGTGGTTGGATCTTCCCCGGTGGCTCAGATGGTAAAGCGTCTGCCTGCAATGTGGGAGACCTGGGTTCAATTTCTGGGTCGAGAAGATCCCTTGGAGAAGGAAGTGGCAACCCACTCCAGTACTCTTGTCTGGAATATCCCATGGATGGAGGAGCCTGGTAGGCTACAGTCCATGAGGCCACAAAGAGTCAGACACGACTGAGCGACTTCACTTTACTTCAACGGTTGGTTGGTTGACAGACAGCCATCAGACCATATTTTGTCCATGACTTACAATCAATAAATACTACATGACCCTAGGGTTGAGGGTGTATGCTTCTCTTGGCGTTAATGAACTGATGGACTGACTTAGATCAGTCTTGTGAATAAATCATTTTTTCTGGCCTGGGGAATGGGGAAGGGAGATGTGTTAGTTTAGCTTTGCTACTTTGTGTGTTTTCCCCTAGACTTACCCAGAAAAGTAAATATTTAAACACACAAATGTATCTATTTAAAAAATATATTTGCTTCAAAGGCAAGTAAACTGTAATGCACATGAGCCCACATATCAGGCTGGCTGGCTGTATCCAGGTGCATGAAGTGGCTTCTGCTTTCTCTGTGGGTGCAAACAAGAATCTGTTTGTAAAAAGCTTATGTTCAGTGACCTTTAGGGACCTCTTTCTTTCATAGAAAGAGGGCCCCCCAGGGAACTGGAGGGAGCAGACATCGAGGAGCCCCTTGTGCATCCATCCCCTCATGGCTATAGTGATGCTCTCTGCCCTGAGAAGAGGGAGACACTCAGAAGTGAATATGGGCTGCTCTCTTTCTATGTGCAAGCTGGCTGTGAAGAGGAGGCAGAGGACTGCCAGACTCATCCTGGCCCCAGCAGTCCCCCTGTGGCTTGTTTTCTGCCTGTTTCCTGTAACTAAGCTGGAAGCGTGGGGACATGAGGGTGAAAGGGCTAACTTCAGGCCTTAAAACTCGGCATAGTTTGGCACTCTTAAAAGCCACTAAGTGTAAAATGAACATAAGCTCACACAGACTAGTAGTAAAAGCAGTGGCAAATCTTCGGTCAGATCACAACAGTTTCATATTCCTACTCCATTTTGGGAATTAGTATTATAGGAAATCTTTTATTGAAAGAGTGCCAATTTACTATCTAGAGGAAGTCATTGTGTGGCCACCTCCAATCATCACACACAAAGTGATACATCTTTCCTTGTTTAAATTATTTCAAATTTCTTTAATCTGTTAAACTTATTTATTAATTTTTTTAATCTGTTAAATTTAAAAACAGACTCTGTATGATGTCAGAGTCTGTGATACTTACCCGGCCACTTTTCAACACTTCATTGTTTTCACCCAGGGCTAGTTCTGCAGATGCCTTACAAAATTCAGCCAGCCCTGAAATGGGCAGGTATTCTTTATCCAAATTTTTTGCAGCAATCTGGGCCTCCGCCTAGATAAGGAAAAAATGTTTTCTAAGTTAAATTTTGGAAGTAAAGCCTCTTTTAAAAAATTTGGAGATACTGTCCAAGAGGAAGGGTAATTAGAATGTATTTTATGAATAGCACAGAAATTTTATATTTTTAAATCATATTTTATTATTTCTTAAAGTTAGGTTTTATGTGAATGGGTAGGTATATGATATCTCTTGGTTTAACAAAAAATGGCACTCTCGGAATGCACAAGAGCAAGGTTTAAGAGCAACACTTAAAATAGATATAAGATGATAAAGTCAAACTGAATACATAAAGGAGTATTTCAAGGTATATGCTAATCTAAGAGGGCTTCCCTGGTGGCTCAGATGGTAAAGAATCTGCCTGCAATGTGGGAGACCTGGGTTCGCCCCATGGGTTGGGAAGATCCCCTGGAAGAGGGCAGGGCAACCCACTCCAGTATTCTTGCCTGGAGAATCCCTGTGGACAGAGGAGCCTGGTGGGCTACGTCCATGGGCTCGCAAGGTTGACAGTTACAGTCACGTACCTTCACGCTTTGAGCCGGAGGCCTGGCTGACCCTTACTCGCGGTGTGACTCTGGTGATTTAACCTCCTTGAATCTCAGTTTGCTCAACAACTGTTTCTACACCTCACATGACTCAGGTAAAGAGTTAGGAGATAATGTACAAAAGTGCGTGGTAGTGTTTCAGCTTCTGCCAATAGCTAACACATGCTAAATACTTAATTTTTTAAATTAAATTTTATTTTTTAAAAACTTGTTCAGGAAGATAATCTTCTTTTCTTCTTCTTTTTAATCCAGGTCTTTTAGAAAAATTGATTAATTGACTTTTTGTGCCGCTGGGTCTTCACTGCTGTGCATGGGCTTTTTCCAGTTGTGGCACGTAGGCTTCTCCCTGCAGTGGCCTCTCTTGTTTTGGAGCATGGGCTCTAGGGCATGGGATCAGCAGCAGTGGCACAGGAGCTTGGCTGCGCCAAGGTACGTGGGATCTTCTTGACCAGGGATTGAACCCACGACCCCTGCACTGGCAGGCAGATTCTCATCCACTGGACCACCAGGGAAGCCTCACGCCAAATACTTTAAACTGACTTACTGAGAACAAAAGTAACCCCTGCACGACCTGAGACCCAAGAGCTGGCAGTTTTTGAGTCTTCTCATTACGGCTATTTCTTAAGTCCTTTTTTTTCTACTTAGAGAGACGACACCTAATCTGTACTCCTACACACTCAGAAATTTCTTCTTTCGGTGGTTCATTCAGCCCCTGCTCCGTTACTGCAGCGCCTCACAAGGGCCTGAGCCAGCCTGCTGAAGCTCAAATGTGGTTCTTTACTGTCACCCAAAATTATGCTTCAGTAACTTCCACTCAGGATGCCTAGTTCTGCTGTTTGTAGGAACAGCACAGCATTACCCCATGTTTGGAAGTGACACAGCAGCACACTGCTATTTCATCAGAGGAGGTGCAGATGGAAAGGAAATACTTTCTTTTTTCAGGACAAGATGGGCCTGATATCTATGTGAGCCTACTTCTGCTGACTCCAGAAATCCTGAGTCTGCCGTTTGATCCTCAAGACAATGCCTTCCTGTCCTGGGCTCACTCCTATACTGCATTCCACAATTGGTCTAACTGCTGGGTCTGTGGACCACTCCCTTTTTCATCCGTGAAAGGTGTCCCATGGTGGACATCTCCACTTTAAGGAAAGGACTTTCTCCAAGTCTGCAAATACCTTCAACAATCGCATGTGATGCCTCTTCTTAAACTGATGACATCTAACAACCTTAAGATGGACTGATGTAACTATGGACATAATGTGACTTTTCATTTTGATTTTAACTTGGTTTGATGACTATTTTGCCTTACATCTGTAACTGTATAATGGGGTTTTCTAACCGTCTAAACGCTTTTAGTTTACAAATAGTTGTCTGAGCTCCTATGAGCGCCACTGCCTCCTCCAACTATTACTTGGAGCCCCTGGATCAGACATCCTCACTATGAGGATTAGGAGAATATGTTGCCTCACCAATTTAGGGACAACGCCCCTTGTCAGCTTGGAAGCAGTTATGGAATGAGAACGACGCCCCTTTTCCCTAGGCAACATAATTCTCCTAAAAGAAAAGGGGGGAATGAGAGAGTCATTTCCTAGGCAGGTTGATAAGAAGTCTAGGGGTCCCCAAGGAGAGAGAGGTCTGGGATATTCAAGGAGGAAGAAAGGACAAACTTTTTTACTTTTTTTCCTCTACATTCCTTAGGATTATATAACAATAATGTATCCTGCCTGAGGACAGTCTTTGGATTAAACCCTCTGGCTAATTCTGTTATCTTAAAACATAAAATTATGGGAGTAGGTCTGGTCTTTACAAGGATGTATCCTGCCTGAGGACAGTCTTTGGATTAAACCTTCTGGCCAACTCTGTTATCTTAAAATGTAAATTATGGGAGTGAGGTCTTTGCAGCCTCCAGACATTCTTTGGATTCATTGGAGAGTATATAACTCCATTGCTAATACTAGCAAAGGGGTACTCTTTTGCCCCCTTCTGATGCCTATGTCAGAAGCTTTCCCTATCTCCTTTATACTTTAATAAAACTTTATTACACACACACAAAAAAAATAAAAATAAAAATTAGTTACAATATTTAGAGTTGTGATAACCAGTACAAAGACTACTAATAAAAATGTAACAAAATAAAATTATTTAATAGTTCAATAGGATGAAAGGACAGAGCATGCTTAGGTAGTTGCGTCTTATTAAGGCAATCAAAATGGGAGATATGGGACATAACAATGGTAACCCTCATCCACAACGGGCTATTCCTATCACCAAGAGACAATGTTTACATTCTTGGACCTTTTGTGCATCCTTAGGATTAATCATTATAGTCAGTTCAGTTCAGTCACTCAGTCATGTCTGACTCTTTGTGACCCCATGGACTACAGCACGCCAGTCTTCCCTGTCCATTACCAACTCCTGGAGCTTGCTTAAATTCATGTCAACCAAGTCGGTGATGCCACTGAACCATCTCAACCATCATTACACTCTGCCTGTTTTACAGATAATCATAGAAGTTCAATCTTGGAAAAGATCATATAGTTCCAACCTCTCAGTTTTACAGCTAAGGAGACTACCCCAGATAACACATGTGATTCAGGTAGTGAGTATCAGAACTAGAACCCAGGTCTCCTGACTCCCAATCCAGGAGTCTGTCTTCAGGAGGGCCCTTTAGTTATTTATCCCCATCAAACAGCTGTCTAGCAAGCTTACCTTCCGGACACTTGGAAGCACGTAAGGCTTTCCATTATCATCCCGGTAGGCACCAACTCCAAGGTTCATCTTTTTGCTGCTGGTGTCTCTCTTATAGGCTTCTGTTATTCCCAGGATGGGATCTGGGGGCCCCATCTCCACATGAGCCCACCAGGAGCTGAAATGGGAAAAATAAGACATCAGTCACAGTACCTAGATTTCCATGGCCAGAGACAACTTGGATCTGCCAAAAATCCATTTCAAGAAATGTCTGCATGTCTACTATGCATACAGTATAGCAACAGACACTAATATAACACACTAATACCTAAGACTTCACAGCAGTTGCTGAAGAGTGGAGAAGGCCAATAGTATCAACACAAATGCTGTGAGAAGCAAAAGGCAGGGACACCCAACTCATCCTGGGAAGGACAGGGTGGATGTACATGCTTTCAACGCAGTCCAAACCTGACCTGGAATTCCCAGGCAAAGGATATCACAAGCAAGTTGGCAGTAAGAAGCTGAGTGGTAAATGATGAGACAAGAGAGGGAAGCAAGGCCAGTGTAAAGTGGTTATGTAATACACCCAACCAGGGGGGCTGCATTTTAGCCTGTTTCCCAACTTGATAAGGGCATTATTTGGAAAGCCTGCTAAAATACAGATTCCTGGGCTCTGCTCTGAATGCAGTGAAAATATACAGAATCATTTAAGTTTTTTTTTGGAGGGCAGATGGCGATCAGGTAAGAACAGTGATGTGAACAGATTTTTATAGCTCGTCTGGTCACAAGATGGGGTGCTGAATGCAGAGAGGGAGAGGAAATACAGCAGGATCACTGAAAAATCTGGTTCCTTACCTAGCAAGAGAAAGAGATGAAGGCTTGAACCAGGTTGGGGCAGTAGTGGTGGAAAAGATGACAAAGAATTGCCAGGTAACCGGTTGTAATACGGCACTGATTTCCTTATTACTTATTGAGTTAAAATGTTTAACAATGTCCAGTATTTTATATTTGTATGCGTCATGATTTTACCTTAAAAAATATCCTTTAAATGAAATCTTGCCACTTGTGGCAATATGGATTGACTTGGGAGGGCATTATGCTAAGTGAAATTAAGTCAGACAGAGAAAGACAAATACTGTCTATTACTTACATGTGGAATCTAAAAAATACAACAAAGTTAGTGAACCTATCAAAAAAGAAGCAGACCCACAAATACAGAAAACAAACTAATGTCACCAGTGGGGAGTGTGCAGGGGGAGGGGGGGTACAGCAAGTATTGTACAACACAGGGAATATAGTCAATATTTTGTTATAACTGCAAATGAAAAGTAACCTTTGAAAAGTTGTATAAAAATAAGAATTAAAAGAAAAACCTTATCCTTTCAGTGTTTGGGGTCATCCACCACTTCCCAGTGAATTTATCTGGTGAGGTCAGGTGAACTGCCTCGCTGGGGGAGTACACTCCCAGGGTGAATCCCAAGAGGGAAATGCACCTAAATAGCTGTTTCTCCAGCTTGTTCCCCAGTCCCTACTAATTTGGGGGTTCTGGTTCCTTTATGGTCAGTAAACTAGTCCCTGTTGGCAACACAGACTGTGAATGTGGCATCATGCTTTGCCCATTAGTGATTTCTGGAAATGGATAGTAGAGTTCTATTCTCCATTGGGAGAGATGACAGATACTCTGTTGTTGTTTTGCATCTTTATTTATTTACTTATTTGGCTGCACCAGGTTGGAGCTGTGGCACATGGGATCTTCGATCTTTGTTGTGGCATGTAGGATCTTTAGTTGTGGCATGCGGGATCTAGTTCCCAGGCCCGGGATTGAACCCGGACCCTCTGCACTGGGAGTGTGGAGTCCCAGCCACTAACCACCAGGCGAGTCCCTGCATGTTTTTGGTTGTGCCGAGTCTTCACTGCTGTGTGCTGGCTTTCTCTAGTTGCAGAGCACAGGCTCCAGGCTTTCGGGCTTTAATAGTTCTTGCTCCTGGGCTCAGCAGCTGCAGTGTGTGCAGCGCGGGCTGGAGCTCAGGCTCAGCGGTTGTGCTGCACGGGCCCAGCTGCTCTGTGGCTTGCAGGATCCTCTCGGACCAGGGATCAAGCCCGTGTCCCCTGCATTGGCACGTGGATTCTTAGCCACTGGGCCACCAGGGAAGTTCCCCACACCTTTTCTTTAAGTAAGACTTGAGACTGTGTTTTTACTCCTCACCTGTAACTGAAGTTTATAGTTTTTTCTTTTTGGCATGCAGGATCTTAGTTCCCAGAGCAAGGATCGAACCCATGCCCCCACTGGTCCACCAGGGAAGTCTGAAGTTACAGATCTTAAAAGATATAAGGTCTCCATGTATAATTCAGAAAGTCTTTTTTCTTTGTTACATCTCTGAGTGTCTGATTGTTAAATGTTTTCCATCTCTGATTAATCTATCTCTGATAAAACAGATTACAAAAACCTCAAAGTAAAGGTGCTCTGTTCTAATTGTTACAGAAACTGAATTTTTAGTGCTTAAAATGTTCTAGACTCAATTTTTCTTTTCTTAAAGCAGCTCAGAAACATTTTAGAAATTCAAGTTCATATAAATTAAATCCTTGATAAGTAAGACTAAATTTGATTAAAAAAAACTCAGCTATATATTTTATTCATGTTAATATACTATAAGCATACATTTTATTCTATGTGGGTTTGCTTTTTCTAAATTTACACTAGTTCACTTGATCAAAGAAGCTAACAGCACTCCTATGTGTGCATGCTCAGTCGTGTCCAACCCTTTGTGACCCCATGGACTGTAGCCCACCAGGCTCCTCTGTCAATGGGATTCTCCAGGCAAGAATACTGGAGTGGGTTGCCATTTCCTTCTCCAGGGGATCTTCCTGCCCCAGGGGTCAGAGCCGCATCTCCCTCTCCAGCCTACCCTTCAGCCTGTCGCAGAGCCCCTGTTTGAGTACCCTGAGTATACAGCAAATTCCAACTGGCTATCTGTTTTACACATGGTACTGTAAATTTCTATGTTACTCTCTCCACACATCTCCCCTTCTCCCTCCTCTCCTTCCACTTTGTCCATAGGTCTGTTCTCTATGTCCGTTTCTCCATTGCTGCCCTGAAAGTAAATGGCTGATTCCTGTTGATGTATGATAGAAAACAACAAAATTCTGTAAAGCAATTATTTTTCAATTAAAAAAAAAAAAAAAGCCACATCTCTTACATCTCCTGCAATGGCAGGTGAATTCTTTACCAGAGTCACCTAGGAAGCCCAACACCACTCCTAAATGTTCAAAATTATGGAAAATGTAAATTTGTGTTCAACCCATTTTTATTTTGACAAATTTTAAATTTTAACAGTAACAATATATTTTTTAATATTTATTTTTTATTTTACTTATTTGGCTGCACTGGGATCCTGCTGTGGCACGTGGGATCTTGGATCTTTATTGTGGCATGGGGGATCTTAGTTATAGCATGTGGGTGGACTCTAGTTCCCTGACCAGGGATCGAACCCAGCACTCTGCTTTGGGAGCAGGGAGTCTTCACCACTGGACCACCAGGGAAGTTCCCAGTAATAATATACTTTTACTTTTTATTAACAGACTTTATTTTTTAGAACAGTTTATATTTAGAGAAAATTGAATAGATAGTACAGAACTCCTGTACACCCAATCTACAGGTTTCCTCTTAACATTTTATATTAGTAAGGTACACTTGTTACAATGAAAGAACCAATGGTTGCTACATTAAGTCTACAATCTATTCAGACTTTTTAGTTTTTACCCAGTGTTCTATATCTGTTCCAGGACACCACATTACATCTAGTTGTCGTGTCTCCCTAGGCTCCTCTTGCTTGCGACAGTATCAGACATGCCTTGTTTTGATGACATTGACTGGGGGTACTGGTTAGGGACACTCTGTAGGATGCCCCTCTTTTGGAATTTGTCTGATGTCCTTCTCATGATTAGACTAGGGTTATGGGTTTTGGAGAGAATTTTTGGGAGAACTGTAAATTTTGGAGTACTCAACTTGATAATCTCTCAGATCTTTGAATAACTTAAAATCCTGGATTCATATTATAATGAGTTAACAGAGTAATTAATCATTGATACAGAGATAATTTCTAAGTATGACAAAATACTAAAATGCTGATTATTAAGCCTAATTAAATGCTTGTGTAGGATTGACATCAACTCCCTCCCCTGTTTTATCTGTGAAATGTAAGTTACTTTGGTTAAGATTATAATTTTTTTTTCATTTATTTTTATTAGTTGGAGGCTAATTACTTCACAACACTTCAGTGGGTTTTGTCATACATTGACATGAATCAGCCATGGAGTTACATGTATTCCCCATCCCGATCCCCCCTCCCACCTCCCTCTCCACCCGATCCCTCTGGGTCTTCCCAGTGCACCAGGCCCGAGCACTTGTCTCATGCATCCCACCTGGGCTGGTGATGTTTCACTATAGATAATATACATGTTGTGCTTTCGAAACATCCCACCCTCGCCTTCTCCCACAGAGTCCAAAAGTCTGTTCTTACATCTGTGTTTCTTTTTCTCTTTTGCATATAGGGTTGTCATTACCATCTTTCTAAATTCCATACATATGTGTTAGTATGTTGTAATGTTCTTTATCTTTCTGGCTTACTTCACTCAGTATAATGGGCTCCAGTTTCATTCATCTCATTAGAACTGATTCAAATGAATTCTTTTTAACGGCTGAGTAATATTCCATGGTGAAGATTATAATTATTGAGTGGTTGAGACTATACTGTGATCAACAATGATACAGAAATAAATGTGTAGGTTTTTGTTTTTCAAGGGAAAAAAGTGTTGTCCTAAAGCAGCTGCTCTCAAACATTTTGGTCTTTGTATCCCTTTATTCTCCTAAAACTTACTGAGGATCCAAGAGCCTTTGAGCTTTTATTTATATGGCATATGCCTACCAAGATTTACTGTATCAGAAATGAAACTGAGAGACTATCCTAAAGTGTCAGTTTGTGAAAGAACGTGTAAGACACACCTTAGGGGAGTTGAGTTCTATGGTAGCCTCACGGGTAGGATTCATTGCAGTGGCCTGGTTCAATCCCTTGTCAGTGAACAGAGACGACGCAAGTGGTGCTACATGACAAACCTTAGAAAGTGAACTTTGTTTTGATTTATAATAACTGAGTCTGAAAAGAAACTATGAAATGTGTT